CAGGACACCAGCCACCAGGTTGCCCCACCCCCGACCAACCCCATCCTGTCCTCAGGCCACCGGACGAGCGTACAAGACTCATGACCTGGTGGTGCCTGCCCTCCTGACACCACGCCGAGGAGCCGGCCAACCGGACACCGTGTGGGTCACACTCCATGCCTTTCCTCATGCCGTCCCCTCGATTCAAAGCTTCCTTCTGCTTGGAAATCTCCCTCTAGTTCAAGTCCTTTCAGATGCCAATCGCTCTGGGACCGAGTCCCCAGCTCTCGAGGGCCGAGCTCCCGCAGCCATGAGGGGCTCCAGCCGTCAGTTCCCATGCCCATCCCGGCACCTCCGTGCTGTGGGGCTCTTGCACATTTCAAGTCTGATGTGAGCTGCGCGAGGGCAGCAGCGTGTCTCATCCACCTTGTACCCCAGCGCCCATCCCCACCCCCAGGCCTCGCCCAGCACTGCTGCCCTAGAGATAGTCTGGGGACAGACGGATGCAATGCATGAGCATGAAATTCCCAACACATGAGCACGGCTGCTCTTCAGACCCCATTTGTTGTTGTTTTTTTAAAAAAAAACACCCAGTCCTCCAGCTGCTTGCATGGACGCTGTGGGTGGAGACGGGGGTAGCGGGGAGGTGGAAGCGATCGTCAAGCGTCAAGCTTGCAGAGTCCCGGGCGCCCGCGCCCCGCCTGCTGAAGCGGCTGCGTCCCCTTCCTGCACTGGTCAGTCTCCCTCCGCACCCCTGCGCCTCAGGACAGCCCCGCCCAAGCCCCGCCTCCTGCAAGCAGCTCCCCCCATCCCTCCCCTTGCGCCACATCTCAGGCCTCAGTCCCTCCTGCTAACCCTGCAGCACAAGCAGGACGGAGCAGACAGGAGAGGACAGAGCCTCCGGGCCCCTGACCTGCGGGTTAAGGCTGCCTCTGAGTGGTCTCTCCGGGGACTCATCTGAAACGAGAAGGAAGGTGCCCATGAGTGGGGTCAGCCACGGCCGACTCAAGGGAGGGCTCAGCTGTCAGAACACATCCCCCTCCTGGGGCCTCCCACCCACCTCCGCTCAAGCCCCAATCCAACCCCCATTAAAGGGTCTGGGACACGGCCCCACCCACCAGGCTGGGTCAGCAGCCCCTCCTTGACGCCCCCAGGTCTTCTTGGGGCAGCTGCAACCACCTGCTTCCTGCCTGCTTCCCCACCGCCCCGAGCCCCATAGGGCAGGGACAGGCACGGGCCGGCAGCAGGTCTCCTGCCTCTCCCCAGGGCCTGGCACAGCGCGCGGTCAGGCAAAAAGTGAGTGAGTGACCCAGTAAACAGAGGGACCAGGAGTAAATTCTGGCATAAAGCGACAGGACCAGCCCCGGTCCATGTGATTTGTACTCCTGGGGCAAGGCAGGGTGGCAGGCACCGGGACAGCCCATGGCTCCCACCCACCTCCCCTCCTGAAGGAGAGGCTCTCCCCGCAGTCTGCCTGCTCCGCCCTCCTGCAAGCTAGCTGTGCCCACCACCTGGGGCTGCTGGGGAGCCCCAGCCATTAACTGGTGCCTCACTTGATCCAACCCCATCTGCTCTCGGCCACCCTCGGGCATCCAAAAGCCCTGTGTCTGCGTACAACGTCCCTGGTGTCTAACCCAGGTCCCTGGGCCGTACCGGGGGGGCTGCTTTCCTCGGCATGCCCTCCAGCGGATGGGAGACAAAGGGACCCGGGCCTCACCCGAAAGGAGATGGTCCTGGGGCTGGAGCGCTTCAGGGAGCTGCTGTAGGTGGCCTGGGTGGGCGAGGGTGTGTCCGCCTCGTCCTCCTTGCTGGGGATTTTCATCTGGATGGGGAAGAGGGAGTATCACACGGAAGGCCGGGGCACCCCGATCCCGAGCTGCCACGGGGGCGCCACCGGCCTGGCTCATCCCAGGAGCTGCAGGGGGAAGCAGGTAGCAAGACAGTCCCGTGGCTCCTGCCCCTCTGCTGTGGGGATGGCGGACCCAGTCCCAGGGCCAGGCCACCAGGCAGGGCTTTCCAGGGGGACTTCTAGAAGGATCTGAGGCTTCCCACGGGTCCACGAGGGCCTGCAGTCTGGGCCCTGGCTGAGGATGTGGTACGGGGTACCGGGTGCTCCCCGCTGCACAGCTGATGCCCCCGCCCCCGGGTCCGCTATCCTGACCGTGGTGGAGCAGGTAGGGAGAGGAAACTGCCAAGGCCGGCCTAGAGGCAGGAGGACAGGACTAGAAGGGAGGGCGGAGGGCGGGGGGCGGGAGGGCAGGGGCACCGCCAACCTGGAGAGTGATGGGTGGGAGGTGGCAAGTCCCAGCCGGACGCTCTGCCCCCTGCCCCCGCAGCCCCGCCGAGGACGGGGGCTCCTGCTTGGGGCCGGCCCTCTCCTGCCCCTTGGGGGTGGACGGGCTCTGTGCAGAGGCTGGCTGCTCCTGGGCCCGGGGCTGCCCTGGGGCCACCGCCCTCGCTGGGGCCAGCCGCGTCTCGGGGGCCGGGGTCTTCTCAAAGACTGCTGCTTTCTCAGACGTCCGTCTCTCTTCTGAGTCCGACGTCTTCCCTGGGGACGGCAGCTTCTCGAAGACACTTGTTTTTTCCAGAACCAACGTCTTTCCCGAGATGGTTCTTTTCTCCAACACTGCGATCTTCTGGGACACAGACACTTTCTCAGGGCTGGCGGTCTTCCCGGAGGTGGAGACTTCCTTGGAGTCCAGGCTCTTTTCGGGCGCTAATGTCTTCTCTGGGGCAGAGGGCTTCTCTGAGCCCCCCTTCCTGCTGCATGCCGGCTCCCTGCCCACCAGGCTTTCCTCCCCCCGGACCCAGGAGCTCCGCTGCTCCCGGCTCAGTCTCCGGCGAGACAGCAGCCCCAGCTCCTTCTCGCGCGCCGAGGGCAGCTGCCCGGCCTGCCCAGTGCCCGCGCTGTCCTCCTCCTCTGCGTCCAGCTGCTCCTGGACGGGGGCCTGTGCGACCTCCGCCTCCCGCTGCCTCTGCCTCCGCTCCTGCCGTGCCCTGAGGACGGCCTGCACGTCCTCACCGCTGGAGTCTAGGGGTGGTCGGGGGGAGACCTCCATTTCCTCCACGCTCGGCAGTCTGAGTCGAAAGATGGGAGATGGGGCGGGAGACAGAGTCAGAGGGCGGCAGAGGTGGGGGAGACCGTGGGGTGCCCTCCGACCCAGTGCAGATGCCTCTGGGGCCATGTGGGAGGGGTGAGGAAGGAAGGCCGTGGCCCCCCGCCTGAACCACCATCGCTTAAATCAGGATCCCTTTTATCTGCTTTACGCATCAGGCTTCTAAGGTATCCTTTGAACAGAGCACATAATGCTTTTCAAAGAAATGCATAAACCCCTGAAAGGTGCCACCATTCCACGCTCAGCCCCAATCAACAAACACCTCATCTGTGCCAGGCCCCGCCCCTTACGGCTTAGAGCAGGACCAGAGACAGCCAGGGAGCTGGCACAGGTCACACAGCTAATGGGCGGTGGAGCTGGGAGTAGATCCCAGGCCTCTGACGTTCCTCCCGGCCCCTGTCAGCCACGTGGGTGCAGCTCAAGATGCACGCCTTGTGGTCCCTCCTCTGGGGGACCCAGGGGAACAAGGGCAACATGAGAGGCCCTCAGGCTCCAGCAAAGGAGACTCTTCCGTCTCCACCACCTGCTCGCCGTGCGACTTGGCGCAGGTTAGTTCACTGTCTGAGCCTGTGTCCCAGCCTGCAGACTGGGTTTGTTCGGAGGCGAGAGGAGACTCATGGCAGGAGCGGGAGCCGTCCTGACAGACAGGAGCATCCGGTGAACAATGCCCTCCTCCTCCTTCCCCTCTCGACCTTCAGATCTGGTGGCCAGACCGGCCCCCGCGCTCCTGCGGTCAGAGGCGGACCACAGAGGGTCCGGGTTAGAAGGAGGCAGCAGGCTTGAATGCAGAGAGTTGGCCCCGGGGCCCGACAGACGTGGACAACACCCGAGGCCCCTGCTCTCCAGGTGGACAACCCATGTGCTCTCTGACCAGCTTCTCCACCTGTGAGACGGGTTAGGACCCTCCCTCTCGGGAACCTGGAAGGACTGAGTTACGCTCACAAAACGTCCAGCAAAGGCTGCGCGTCTCATGAACACCGGTCTCACTGGCTGTCCCGGTGAGGGTAGGACCCACGAAAGTCCAGCCTGGTTCCCGCCCGTCATCTGGGACCGGGGCACCGCCTCCCCACCCCCGCACCTCTCTGGGGCCGCCGCGTCTCCGTCCTGGGCCGGCTGGGCCGGCTGGGCCACCTCGTCGTCTGCGGTGGAGCTCAGGCTCCGGTGTCGCCGCCGTCGCTCCCTCTCCTGTTCCTCTTTGTCCTCCAGGGTCCACTGCCTGGCCAGGCTGGTGAGGGACAGGGGTCAGTGCAGCCCACACGGCCCGCCACCCCAGCCTGCGCAGCAACACCCCAGGGGGGCGCTGGGCTGGACTCCACCCTGGACCGAGTGGGATCGGGGCCCCTGCTCCGGGGCGCCCAGGGACATGGGAGGGCAGGTGCAGCTTTGCCTGAAGGAGGTGGGTGAACCTGACAAGCTGCCCTCTCTCTCTGCTCCGGGGACTTAGATGACATCCCTCAGTGGACAATCGCAGAGAAACGTCCTCAGCTGCACAGCTCCCCGTGGGACTTCTTGGGCTCTCCAGAGGGGGAGACTCCCCACTGAGACCGGTTACAGCCAGGGAGGGCCCAGCAGCACTCCCTTCACCTCCCAGGAGCCCCGGCAGCCTCTTTGGCTCCCCAGAAACAGCCGGGGGCAGGGGCCACACCCTGCTTTTGGTTCCTGCATCACAGGGCCTACCAGCCAGCCACCCCCGCCTTCAATCACGCAGCCACCCAACCTCCTGTCCCTGCAAACAGCCCTCCCCCGCCACCTCCACCGCCCTGCCCACCCATCATCCTTATCCACCTACCCGTTCCCCCAACCCATCCCCACCCTCCATCCCAACCAAAGAGCAAATATCCCCGAGGAACTGTGCTGGGCCAGCGCCCCGTCGGAAACTGCGGCTTCACAGACCAGGGCAGGGCCCCTGCCTCGGAGACACCTGCCAAATACTGAGAAAGACAAGTGTGTCCACCAGTAGCCCCCCAGCTCTGCACAGGGAGGGAAGGGTTACTGGGGCTGCAGCGTCAGCAGAGGCCCCAGCAGAGCCTGAACGTGGGCTGGATCTCGGGGGACAGGCCAGGGCCGGGAGAAACCCGAGGCCCAGGCAGCGGGGAGGGACGAGCAAGCCTGGTGGTCAGAGGTGGGGGCTTGCAGGACAGGGAGGCCACACTTCACCCAGAGCCGCAGGAGAAGCTTGGGCCGCGAGGGCTGGGAGTGGCCCCCCAGTGCTGTCTGGGGCCCCGGTCAGAAGGGCCTCTGCTCGGCCCTCCTGCCCGCGGGCAGGTCCCTTCCTTGCCTCCGTCTTCCTCCCCAAGAGGAGCACCCACACGACGGCCCTGATCTTTTTTTTCCAAGTCCGGCATCACATCTGCTGATCTGATCGTCGCTAAACTCACATGCTTTGAGCACGGTCTACAGGCAGGCAGGTTCCGGGGACTGGGAAGGAGCCCGACGGGGCTCTGCCCTTTGGGGCGCGTGCCAGGTCGGGGAGTCAGACAGGGGGCAAGGAGCCCGCCCGTGAACAAAACGTCAGGAAGAGACGGAGGACGAGAGGAGGCGCCTGAAGGGGAGAGGGCCCCAAGGACCAGAGGGGCTGGGTCTGGTGGCAGCGTTCCAGGGTGAGGGGGCAGCACAGGCCTCGGCCGGAGGGCTGTGCTCAGGGGCCGGGAGAGAGCGTGGGTTTATTCCAGGGTGTGGGAAGACACGGGATAGTTTCGCACGGAAGGGGGCATGGTAAGACGGATTATAGTCACTGTTTTAAACCTCTCCAGCTGCTGTATGGTGCCAGGACTGCAGGAGGGGGAGGGGAGGGGCGGGGCCTGGGCCGGGGGTGGGGGT